CCCCCCCCCCAACACACACACACACACAAATTCTTAAGAAAAAAAATGATCCAAGATAACCCTTCAAGAATTGACGAACTTTAAACAAGTAAAAAACTTTAAAAAGCTCACTGACAATCAAGATTCCAAAATAATGAAAACACATAAAATCACATTGACTGAACATCACAAAGAAAGAAGTGAATACCCTTTAGGATATACGTTTCCAGCGAGAGGGAACACAATAGAAGAACCAGATTTTAGCTGCTGCTTCTTCCATATGGGACGAGGCAGATGAAAGGCAGAGAAGCAGCTCTGAAACAAAGCGGATAGAAGCAGAGAGTACAACACCAACAGCATGCAAAATGGTGCTTTCCACTTCCCGTTCATGGTGATTTTTGGACAGTGGACTAAAATTCAAAAAGGAGTTGAAGCAAATCCTGAAAAGGGTCTACTTTCTTGATCTCGAAAAGCTTAGCAAAAAGTTCAATTCGTACTAAGGACAAAGAAAACGAAAGAGTTGCTCCATTTGACCGTACAGCCAGTTTATATATATACTGATAATAAAAGTATTTAGTGGTGGTTTGGTTTAAAAACAAGTTGCGATGGGATTATTTATAAAAAGATTTGATTAATTATTCTTGTATTATTTCTTAGTGATTGTTTGTTATGTTATATTAGTCGAGAATGTTAATTTTACTACTTTATTCAATGATAATTTATTTTGAGATTAATATTTCATCATTTGTGAGGCATAAGTTATTTCGGTATTATTTTTAATTTTAAAATAATTTATTCCAGAATTAATAACCAAACAAGTAAAATGCCAACACTAAATTTTTATTTCAAAATTATTTTTATTTATCAATTATATCAAACGACCACTAAGAATACTATATTACAACTAAATACTCCCTTATTTCTTATATCACAAAAATAACATAGTGTACCGAAAATTATAGATTTTAATTTTTTTAATATATGTCAAAAGAAATTCTCAAACACTATATATGAAATTATTAAAGTACATTTTTTGGTGTATTATGAAATTATTATTAAATTCTCTGAAATTAAGGTTGGAGAGTCCACGTGAAATGGGTCCCTAAAACTAGAGTGAGGTCCTTGGATTTCACGCACATGCAACGTGAGCGCTCTAACCACGGCAGCCACTATTTTGGGGAGAGCTAATAACTTGTCTATTTCGAATGGACCATATGAAATATGCATAGTGTTTAGATAACTCTTATGATACAATTACAATAATTTTCTACTTCTAACTATATGAGTTATTTAGATATGACGGATTCATTTAATCACTCGTTCAGACTATAAACAGTGGAGTATTTTTTTTTTTTTTTTTTTTTTTTTTTTTTTTTTTTTGTAATTAAATAATTTTATTTATCAGTATCAACATGGGGCATGTTATATCAACTGACACCCCTTCGTCGAAAAAATATACTATGTAGATAGGTTTAAATTTTTTGTATATGCATATATACTATGTGTGTGTTTGGTATGAAGGAAAATATTTTTTATGGAAATTATTTTCCTAGAAAATATTTTCATGGAAAATAATTGATTTTATCACTTATTTTTCCTTGTTTGATTGGTGAATGAAAAACTTTTTCCGGAAAATAATTTTTAGTTTTGGTTAGAGAGTAGAAAATAGTTTTTTATGCTACTCTCTTCACCCCCTTTCTCCCAAGTTCTCATGTTTCTTGTGCTCTCCCCCTCTCCCAATACCTAATATTTTTAGGATTCTATTTTCTTTGAAAATTTAATCATTCTTCTAAAAATTCACATAAACCCAAAGGAACCAATGTGATGCTTTACTTTTACACAAAAATAACGTTGAAATTTGTGCTCCATATCTACAAAAAAAAAATGGTTGAAAAAGAAAGTATTATTTTTACAACATGAAAATAAAGTACTCATTTTGTTGAAATGAAAGAAAATACTTTTTCTACGTCATGGACAGAAAATACTTTTTTTGTTGAAACGAAGAAAATATTT